TTTTGTTATATCATTAATGTTTTGTATTTTATCGGGAGTATTTTGTCCTAATATTTGTGTTTTGATTTTTCTTTCAAATATCGACATATAGTTATCGTATCAGCCGTTGACTGTCTACTGCTGAATATAAGCGTTTTCTTATTGGAAAGGGGAAGGGGGTGTAGTCAACAGTTTCCATTACTTGGCAGGCAGGTTGGCAATCGCAGTTAGCTTTTGGTGATGATTTAAGAGGGACACTGCTGACCATCTTTCGACTATTAAGATCTCTTAGTCACGTCTTATGACATTCACCGGAAAAAAGTATTGGCCTATTCTATGTCGTAATTGCATGCCATTTTCGGATATGATTGGTATAAATCTTATTATTATTAGATGTTCAGTGTTTTTCAAATTTTATAACTTGAGCATCTATTGTGAAATTTCTACAAATGTTGTTTTTGAGTATCGGTTGGTAACAATAATTGCATCATCTTTTATCATTAACATTAATTGATTAAAAAAAGATATTGAAACATTCTTCAACTAAAAGTGAAAACATGATAATAAAAATGAATAATAATATAACCTAGTTCTCTATTGTAACGCATGAGTAGAATGTACAATCGATCATTCTAGAATGATTGATCTAGATTCCAGGCAACTTGAATCACATTGTTCTGTAGCGTAGGTATCATGTTACATATGTGATATATTATCTATTATACGTATATATTTCCATTATTCTCGGGCGTTATTAAATTATTGGCGGTAACTTTAGACTAATCGGTATATAGCATCATCCGAATTTATGATTAAATATCACATGAATTTAATGTCAATCTTCTTCTTAAAAACTTTATTGTTTTTATCATGTCGGCCGTTAACTGTCCACTGCTGAACATAGGTCTTCCCTATAAGGGGGGTTGCCAGTTGTTGCCACCAGAGGGAGACTTTGTTCACAAGTCGATTGCTTGGGTACCTCTGTCCCATTCGTGTTTCAACCGTAAAGCAGTTGTATTTGCATGGCTGTGTTTCAGTTTGAAGGGTGGGATATAGCGTGAATTTACAGGGTACAGAAAAATAATATGTATTATATAATGGGTATCATGGACGAAACAGTATACTCTGTTATGTCCATGGTACTGCTCATGTCTATAGACGACGGTTACCACTTTCGACCAGGTGGACCGTCAGCTTGTTTGCAATTCTAAGTTGTATAAAAAAAATGGTTAGCAACCATTCTTCGATTATTAAGTTCTTTTAGACGCCTCTTACGACATTACGGGTAAGGAAGGGGTGGTCCTTTCTATGGCCGGACCACACGGCAAATCTACTTATTACCAGCTTTTTGCTCGCTACTTCATACGAGCGAATTTCAGAAGTAGGAATAATAAACTACTAATATGTTGTTTATATATTAGAGTATTAAAATAAAACATACCCTAGATTTTAAATTAAACTTTTAAAAACACAACTAAACCACTAACCAGTTGTATCGTGCCGGAACAAATATACAGATAGACAGACAAAATTTCTAAAAAAATAACTGAAAGGTTATGGGATGGGTAGCAGCGTCTGCCTTAAAAATCAACAAAAGTGTAACTGCAGTTGCCAGCGTGGCAACTATTGGCAAAACCCCCCAAGAGGGAGGTTTACATTCAGCAGCAGACAGTTAACGGTTGATATGATGATATGATGAAGCAGATTCTCTTTAACATTTTAAAGCTTAATAAATATTGTATAGTATATATAAATTCCTTCCTTCTTTATGGCAGTCTATGGGGGAGTCTATGTCCAGCAATAGGAAGATAGCAGCTGATATGATAATGATGATGATATATCAACATTTCATTATGTTTATACTACTGAAGGAAATTTAAATTTTTTACAATTTATGTAACAATGGACGAAGAAAACAATTTTAACCCTAATTTAATCACCATAAAAACTCCCAAAGTTATTAAGCCTCTTATAAATACAATACTATGGTTTTTATATGTAAAACAAGTAAAACAGTAGCGTTTATATTTCTTATAAAAACAAAAAGCATCAAATTTTTAACAATTCTATTTTGTGTATTTGCATAATTAATATCTTTTTTCAAGTTTATACACTTTGTATAATATGTATTCATATTATATAACGATGTAATTTAAAGATTTAGAAAATTATCGAAATTATTGCTGTAATTCTTTGTCATATTTATAATCTAATTATCTTTTTGTTTTACTGAGTTGGTGTTATTTTGCTGAGTTGATTAGGATTATTTATTTTCGCTTGCAATTCAATTACTATCAGTAAAGGCTCTATGAGTTTTCCTATTAATCACCAATGATTGACCGCTATTAAGTCTATACTCATTTTGAAATTTAATTTGTAATAATTACGATTGTGTTCCACTAAAAAAACCGACTTTAGGTGAGGCAAAAGCAATTATTATGATTTTAAAACTAAACTTCTAAACCGATTTTGATAAAATTTCTATAAAATTAACCTATAGGTATGTACTTACAGATAAAAAAAGAATTTTCCAAATAAATTTTCAACTGACGGAGCGATGAGGGAACAAACAAAAAAGTAATTGTTGTTAAATGATATATGTTGGTAATTATAAAAAATAATAATAAAAAATAATTGTGCTCCTTTCCACTCAGAGTTTGTTGGAAGAGAACTCTTAGTGAGATAAGCGCGCCTGTTGTACATCTTTATTTGATATATATTATGAGTTTGTAATGTATTGTCTACAATAAAGAATAAAAATAGATAAATATAATCAAATTAAGAACCTGCTTCTTTTTGAAGTCGATTACAATTACATATTGTTAACAACTTGTAAGGTTTTGTAAGAGATTACAACTTATTAAAGATTTAATACAAAGTTATTATAATATACTGAAGCAATTAGCATTTGCAAGCCTTTTAGCGTTATGTAAAGATCTGAGCAGACATTAAAATAACATATAATCTTGAAAAAGTACTTTCAAAGCGAGTGACCCATAAAATATTGTTAACTCGGAGAACATGAATGGAAATTCTTATTCGTGGAAAAGGCTTGAAAGGTGCTTGTTACGCTCTATTATTAGTTGTTTACATAGAGTGGTAAGTTTCAAACTTATTAAATACATTATTTATTAAGTTTGAATTAAGACGCTGGCACCGGGAGAGGCTTAGTTGAAGACATATTGTTATAAGATAGATCTTGCATTAATTTGGAAGAGTCAAGAATTTCTGGAACCGATGTATATCTATAAGTTTCAATGAAGTGTTGTCATTTAAATTCACTCTGCGTACAACTAACAGAAGATGATATTTATTTGCTTATTTATTTAAACTTTAATGTTTAGTGTTTATTTAAACTTGTATGTACATATAAGTTTAAATAAACATTACTTCAATTTATCACAACAATGAAAAGCCTCAATCTGTTATATAATTAATTATTATTTATATATATATTAATTTAAAATATACTATGTATAGTTATTTATATATGTATTGTATGTGATTTATGTATGTATATTTTTTTGTAATTATATTATTCTATAGTTTTATTAATATATTATATTGTTTATTTATCATAAATTGTTATCTTTCAAAATATATATTTATTTACAACTTTTTTTAATTTATGCACCGCCATTTACTCTCTCTATTTAGCGTAATGGTTGACTGGTAGAGAATGCCATCAGGCATTAAGTCTGCCCTGTAGACATGTTCTAATATGTGCAAAGTATAAATAAATAAATAAGTATGTATTAGGCAGATTTAAGATCTCATAGTATTCTCTACCATTCAACCATTGGGCAAATAAAGAAACAGATAGGCGGTGCATTAAAGAATTTAGGAAACATAATACTTATATATATATATATATATATATGCATAAACTATTAGGGAGGGCGATGGATAGGCAGCAGCGTTCCTCTTAAAACATCTCTAAAAGCCTAACTGCGGTTGCAAACCCGCCAGCCAAGCGTGGCAACTACTGACACGTGTATAACAGACGTGTCAAGAATCATTCAATCAAAAATAAATCACACTATCTTTATTTGCTACAATTCAATTCCTCTTTATTCCATTTTCATGGTTCAATCGCAAAATTGTAGCAATAGAAATACGCTAAAATATTAACAACCAATCTGTTACAATGTGACAGAGTGGGTGGATTACATTTTAAAGTAACACAGTAGGTGTTTACCCTAAAACTTTTGAGTGATTTAAAATTATATTAAATTAAATCTAACAAATATAATAAAAATAGATTTTACCCGTGGCTTCGTTTGCGTTAACATTGATTTTGTACAACAATTCTAGTTGTCGTTATAGTTAGAGATAAATTAATTACAAAAAGAAACCCATTCGTTTTAATAGGTAATTAAAAAAAATTAATTAAATGCTTTAATTATGAATTATAAACAATAATTCTGATTAATTTGAAGTAAATGGGAGGACGCAATAAAAAAGTATAATACAAAAATTACCCCTCTCTCACATAAACCCCTATAAGTTTTCCAAAAAAAAAAAAAAACGGCTTCTAACTGTCTTCAGGATCACTTCTATCTCTGTACCAAAATTCATCATAATCGATTTACCAAGCCCAAGAGGTTTAAGTGGTACTAAAAAATTCAGTTTTTTTTAATGTATTTATGCATGCTAATTACCATAAATAAAAAAAAAATTAATAACATAAATTGTTAATCGAAAGATGTATGTTCGAATCTCATCCTATCGAGTCCATAGAAAGTATTCTTTTTTTCAATATACAAATAATTTTGTATTTTTAAATGGTTATGTATTAAAAATATAAATCTATAAAAATACAAATTTCTATATTTAAACATTTGATATTTTGTACAACATTGCAAATACAATGTACAAATGTAAACTACGCCTGTTACTCTCACTGCACTTTGCATATGCTTATCGCATTTGGATCCTAACCAAAATTTCGCACAGCCGCATCCAATACGCAAATCGTATGCAAATACCTCCATTGATTAAATTACGGCACTTTGTTTCAGGAAATTTGGAGCATCGGAAGCCGCAACAGTAGGAAACAGGCAATTTAGACACCTATAGGGTATGATGTAGCAGTGTATTTAGAAGTGTTGAATGATTTAATGAAGCTTCGAATTAACAAGGAGTTCAAGCTAAATAAAATTATACCCTTAATTAAATTTGTATTAAAATATCAGTTGTTGCAGATGTATTTAATTCAAAAATAGAATATGAACAATTAATGAGTAAACAACATAACAATGTTTTGTCAAAACATAACAAATACAAAATAAGAAGTGATAGTGTAAATAAATAAAATGTACGATGTGTTAGAAATAAAGTGGCTATTCAAGAAGAAGAATCAAAGGAAATGATCACTATGACACCGATACCGAGCGCCGTCGTCACTTCCTGCGCTTTGATATTCATCGGTAAGTCATATTGAATGTACTAGTAAATTAAGTAGATAAATAATCAATGTATTATTGTATAAAGTAAATAATAATATATTTAATAATTACGATTCGATTAGTTCCCGATTTCAACTGTGAAAAAACTAGTGAATTTGGTTTAAAAATAGACTATTGAACTAACTTTGATAAAATTTCTATAAAACCAATTTGTAACTATATTCTTTCAGATACAAAAGAATTTCCCAAATTGGTTTAGAACTTACGGAGTTAAGAGCGAATAAACAAGCAAAAAAATACAACCGAATTGAAAACATCTTTATTTTTGATGTCGGTTGATAAAATTCGATAATAATGCCAAAACATATCTCTTCAAATATTGTTTCCTTTTGTCAACCATTGGGTAATGTTAAAAAAAAATGTTCAATAATACCGTGAAAATTTTTATTTATGTTCATATTTTATCAAAAATTCAAATAAACCTAATCTATACTTATAATAAAGCTGTAGAGAGGTCAATTCTGTACACGAAATATATTTCCAAAATAACTATCGGGGGATGATTAGTGATCGATACTGATGCCAAAAATGCAATCAGTAAAATTTTTGTCTATCTGTCTGTCTGTATGTTTGTTATAGAAACAAAAACTATTTGACGGATTTTAACGAAACTTGGTACAATTATTCTTCATACTCCTGGTCAGGTTATAGTATACTATTCATCACGCTACGATCAATAGGAGCAAAGCAGTGAAGGGAAATGTGTTTGTTACATCAAAACCACTGAACCATGAGCAAGGAGATAGGCTACTTATTTTACGAAAAACGACGGAAACGCGGACAGAGTCGCGGGCAACAGCTAGTTTATAAATAAAATGTTTTTTTTTTATTACTCATACATAAAACAGTCGAAATTTCATAAGATATTTATGTAATATCAATAATATAATTGTCAACGTGAATTCCTTTATTAATAACCCAATAATACACACTAATTATTCTCCTGGTCTGACATTATTTTTTTTATTCATAAACATTCACATGACGAGCAAATCCACTGGTTAAATATTACTTGTTATATAATACATTAGTTATTATATATAGCGCCAAGTTTCTATTCTGAATACTGTTAGCGCTAAAATACATAACATCTCATTATCGTTAAAAGGTATTCGTATTATACTTCCCTTGTTTATGTATTTTCTTTTCACATTCTTTTATGAAAAAGTCCCACGGGCATGTTTAAATGAAGATGATATCGTACCTAAAGTATTCCAAGTCCCTTTTTATCATGAAATTCCAATAAATTCCATAAGAAAAATTCGATGTTTGATTAATAATAATGAGCGGCTTAATTACTTTCTTTATTACTTTGGAGTTATTTTAAAAAAAAGTTCACAAAATATCTCCCCGGCTGGATTTGTTCCAAAGTATTAATTCATTGTGCCTGCTTTGTGTTTATCTTCTTGTATTTAAAGCTGTTATTAGGATACACTTTACAAATAATTTACCGAATCGTGTTACATCTTTCCCAATTAGTGAAGAATGCTCCTCCTTATTATTTTCATTTTGTTCAAAGAAAATAGCTATGTTTTCCTATTTAAGAATTCTCTTTGGCCGAAGCTCCTTTCTGTGGAACTGTAATCCGAGACAAATTCAATCTTACGCAACAATATTGCGTATACGTCGATAAATGAACACACTGCAATACTTTCCTTTCGTATTTATGTTACCAAGCTTTTTAGTTAATAAGACTTAAGGACAGTTTTTTTATGTGCTATCGTAAAAATTGTGTTTATTATGTTATATCCCTAAAAAGCAGATGATGTGGACTCTTTTCTTTCTTTTATTGTTATTTCCTATTAATCCTATTAATATAATAAAGGAGAAAGTTTGTAATGATGGTTGGATGTTTGTTACTCTTTTGTGCAAAAACTACAAAACGGATTTAAATGAAATTTCGTATACAAGTAGCATATATTCTATAGCATGTAGGATATTTTATGTAGTTATTTATTTATTTATTTTTTACTGAACTTAAGTAAAACTTTGTACAAGCGAGCTTGATGCCATAAGGCATTCTCTACCAGATAACCGTTAGGTAAAAATAGAAAGCGTATGTGGGGCTGAGGTGGTGAAAAACATGTGACATAATTATATATAAATTTATAATAATTTATATATTAAAGCATTTCCCGTGGGTGTCGTAAGAGGCAACAAAAAGAAGACGAAGGACGGGCGGCAGCGTCCCTATTAAAACATCTCCAAATCCTAACTGCGGTTGCCAATCCGCTTACCAAGCGTGGTAACTACTGGCAATACCCCCCTAGGGGGAGGCTTATGTTCAGCAGTGGATAGTTAAAGGCTGGTATGATGATAAATGATGATGTATATTAAAACATCGATAAGCATTATGAGATATAGTTATAATTGAGTAACTTGTAACTACAGCTGGTTTTATTATTTCGCGCGAGCGAAGCTGCGGTATACAGTTAGTAGATAATAAAGCACTTAATCTTGCACAAGGGTCCGGCTACGTTGTTCGCGTAATAAATTTCAAACGGGGATCTGTCTAAAGTATTGTCTTAATCTACCTGTTTAATGTGATTATGTGTTTGCATTGGATTTTATCGGTCTGTTTTTCAAGACAAAAATAAACAGAGGCGCTTAATTCGATTAATATTTAAATTGAAGAAGGGTACTAAGCAGAATCGGGTGAATTATTGCGGGGCCCTTTCTTTATTAACCTCTGTTAAAACATGGTTTCAGCGAAAATGGCTGGTACTTATTTGATTTTAATGCTTTTTATACAAGGCCCAGTGTTGATTTTTTATATTACTTAAAATATTTGTTTTAAACTTTGCAGCACTTTGTTTTTATTTGGAAATTCAAGTTATTTTATGAAAGGGCATATTGTGATTGCCTTAATAGTATACTGAATTGATAACAATAATACTAGAGGGAGATACTGTATAAAAGTTATTTTTATTTAGTGGTATGGGGGTTTCTGCTCGAGTGTTTTGGTTAATGGATGGGATATGGCAACGAAATATTTATACGATAAATTTTTAATTTTAATAATATTTTAGTACCATAGACATTATAGAATTTTTTATGATATTTATGGTCCAAAATCTCACAACGCTTTAAAAAACATCAATTAACGATGTCACATCGGCTGATTTTTTAAATTAAGAATAACAAATCATGCATCTACGTGTATCTGGGTTTTACTTTGAAACAAGTATTATTTTGCTTTGCAAAGAAAAGTGGCATTCTATATTATAACAAAATCGTTACGGAACAACTCAAGAGTAAACCTTATGGACTTACATATATAAAAAAAGAATTGCTGAAATCGGTTCAGATGATATCGCATCTTTTGCAAGTCACTTAGAAATATTTTATTATTTTCCTTTTCATATAAACAACATTTCTTGTCGATATTCTCCATGAGGGGAGAAAAAATAAAATGCAGAGTACAATTACCCATAAAGATTTTATCATCAAACTTCTACAAATTTTATCGCAATGTTTTCCTTAATGGACTCATAATGCCTCGGCTAATCAGATTACCCAAAGGCCCTGTTAACTTAATATGAAATGACCTATGAAAAAGAGATTTCAGTGGAAATGATTTGTAAGCGGAGACAGCTGTTGCGGCGGATATGTTGCGTAAACAGATTTGAGGCTAATATTTATAATTTACTAGTTTTTACTTGCAACTTCGGAATCGTGGAATTAGAAAAAGAAACAGATTATTATTATTTTTTTTACAACACAGGGGGCAAACGAGCATGCGGCTCACCTGATGGTAAGTGACTACCGCCGCCCATGATCACCCACAACACCAGCGATTTTCTAGATAGTGATCTGAGTATGTTCATTGACTTAATATGCTGATCGCATCAACAATTTTTAATATAAAAGATCTTTAAATATTGCTTTTAATAATGATTCGTGAATAAGGGACAGAGGCTAAATATTTATAACTTTACTATTATTATAAATGCAAATGTGCGGATGTATAGAAAGATGTTTGTTACCTAAAAAAACTACTGGACGGATTTAAATGAAATTTGGTATACAAATAGGTTATATCCTATCTTAATACATAAGATATTTGTATTTGTAGTAGTAAAAATATTATTCTGAGTTTGTCAAAAAATATTTAATATACTAGCGACCCGCCCTGGCTTCGCACGGGTGCAATGCTGATACTATATAGCGTCGCCGGCCCCCCATTACGACATTACATTAGAAACCTCTAAAATTATCAGTATTTCTCTACTATATTATGCATGTATTATACATATAAACCTTTCTCTTGAATCACTCTATCTATTAAAAAAAATCGTTTCAAAATATGTTGCGTAGTTTTAAAGATTTAAGCATACATAGGGATGGACAGACAGCAACATCGACTTTGTTTTATACTATGTAGTGATTAAATATGTCACATAGAGACAAATCCTTACTAATATTATAAATATAAAAGTGTTTGTTTTTTTTATTATTACTTAACAACCCCTTAATGGTTTAACCCATCACAATGAAATTTAGTATATTTGGGCTACATGGGATGGAGAAGGATATAGGCTGTACCTTTTATCCCAGTCAAGTATCATATCCTAGTCACGTTGAAGAAATTGTGGGGTACATGCTAGTAAATTATAAAACTAACATATGTTTCAATTAATATATGTACTACTCATATTTGTAAGCGACGGTTACCATTTTATATCAAGTGGGCCGTCAGCTTGTTTGCCATTCTAAGTTGCATAAAAAAACAACAGTACTTTATATATTAATTCAAATAAGCGAAGCCGTGTGATATAGCTAGAAATATTAGTGTAATTATATGTTTATAATACATGAATATTATCCTCAATTCAATAATGTACCACCTACAAATTTCTTTTTTTACTGTTTTTGTTTTGTCTGATAGAGAACAATGTTCGGTGTTAAGTCCGCTATATGTACATAGTGTCACTGTGCATCAAAGTATAAATAAATAAATA